GGGGAAAAAAAAGGTAATTTGACAAATAAAATGAAACAAAATAGTGTGCGGGACAGGGAGAGGGGAAGGCAGAGAGAGCGGCAGCTCCGCCAGGGAGAGAGCTGGAGGGTGGCCAGGAGGCCTGGCCGAGCGCCCTGCCGGAGCCGCATTATTTCTCTCGCACTGAAAAGAAGCTGAGGATGGTAAATGCCACTTTGGCAAGTAGCGAGCTAACTCTATTTCATGATAATTTATTTTTGGAGATAACACGGACATTATAAAAGAGCAACCAACTAATAAATAACTAAACAAAAAGCCGGCTAATAATGGCAGCAGAACGCAGCCCCTTCTAATATATGGGAAAACAAGGGGGATGAATAACTTTTTGAGGGCCGTCCACGAGGAAAGAGCGGTGTGAGATATGGCAAAGGTGAGTGCACTTTTATCAATTACTGTAATTTTGCAAATAATTCACTTTCACTCCCCTATGGATGCTTTTTACTAAATGCTGGTAAACTGAAACCAGAGCTAAGGGGAGGATAAAAATTCGTTTCCAGCCCTGCCCAGCAGTTCCCAGAGAGCTGCTGTTTAGTGATATTTAATAAAAATTTATAAAAAAAAGCAGCAGTGCTTGGGGTGGTACCTGCCTGCACCGCGTACCCCTGCCCTGACCTGATGTCTACCTTATGAGGCATCATCTCCCTAGGTACCACTCCTGGGTAAACCTCTTTACAAGATGCACTGAGAGCTGCCCCCATTAGGTTTCCCTTATTTGCCTAATACGGAGAAAAGGCGGGGGGAGAGAGTGGGGGGGAACACCAGACAAATAAGGCAGATTTGGAAAGAAAACGTTGCTTTATCTGCGCCCGTCTTGTTTCTCATTTCACTTGGGAGGAGGGGAAGAAAAGTTTTGTACGGGCATTTTTGTTATCCGGCAAGCTGAATGGTGATCTGGGGACAGGAGGGACAGGCAGCCCCCAGCGCTGGCTGTAGTTTCCCCCCCTGAGCAGCTTTCCTCCCTGCCCCCCAGCTCTGCAGTTACTCTACGTTTGGCGTGAGAAGCTGAATCTGGCGAGTATAAGAGACTCGATCGTCTACAGCAGGCATTTAACACTTTAATCACTTTAAAAGCCCTTGGAATAATATTTAACGTTTCATCCTGAAGTCGGCATCAGAATAAAATGCACTGCGGTGTTAGTATGTGCCAGGCATGCGAGTGCAGATAAATACTTAAATCTGCTGAAATTAGAGAGAAATTCAATTGGATTTTCACATTCCTATGCTCATTTGTGAGCTTGGGAAAAAATCTTAAATGGGAAAATTTCACCTTGCTTCACCATAATGAAGTGGAAGTTTTTAACACCATGGTAGGAGCTAACAATGTAACGCTACCTCGCCTCTCTACCTTATAGATCAGGTCAGAGAAAATAGCATTTTATCTTATAATGAGGATACAACATCGAGCATTCGCTACCACATTTTAGTATTCCCATCAACTAGATATTCCAGATCATAAGGGCAGCTCGTGTAATCATAATGTCAATGAGAAGGGCTGTTACGACTGAGACTAAAGATTACACGGAAAAAGCTGCTTTGAAACTGGTAATTATTACCAGTCCACTAATAGCAAATGATGCATTACAGTTTCACCATATAATCTGTATTTCACTCAGCTCCTGCCAGTATGGCCTTATTATATTACAGCACTCACAAATTCTAAATTCCTAAACTACAGTCATCAATAAATGTGTTACTTGCCATAATTTGCAAAATTACTTTGTTCATAACATCTTCGACTGTTATAAAGACGGGAATTGATTTCCTGCATGGCAAAATTAGGGCTACATTGATTTAGTGGAGTGTAAAATGTAATATTATTCTTCATTTGCTTGTCTGAGAAACAAGTTTTCAATTCACTATCCGCGTTTGGTAATCAAGATAATAATTTAAATTTAAAATCATGTTTATGTACAAAACTTCCCTAAACAACCCACCATTTTCAAGAGAACAACATAAAACCAGGCAATAAAATAAAGCAGCGAAACAGTTAAAATCCGCCAGCCATTTGCCTCCACCTCCTGCTTTGAAGAGACAGGATTTCTAATTTGTCTATTAGTGCTTGATTAATTATGAAGACTATTGACTGACCATATCACCACCTAGAGATACGTTCCAGTCTGATGCAGCCTTGCCAAACTGCAAGAATTATGGCACTAATCCACACTTTGCCCGCCAGCAGCGAAACAGGTCCTTAGACCACCACAGCAACCCCTGGATTTGGAAGGGACTCGCCTTGCCTTGCTCCCATCCCACCACCACGCTTTTTGGTACAGCATTCGGATTGTAGGACCCAAAGGCTGTGGATCCACTGATGTCTCCTAACTATGAGCCAGCCTCTACATCCACACAAGCTTCCCAGCTAAAGCTGGGAATCTGGGTGGGTAAGACCATGGGCAAGCAAGGAAACTGCTGGCCAGGGAGAGAGCTGGAGAAGGTCCCAGGGGGCTCTTTGTGCCTTATCACCCACAGAGGCAATGTGATGGGACGTGTTATCCAAAGCAGCGTTGCAGTGCCATCAGAGCTTTCAGCTGATTTCCAAGAGGCTAGCAGGAATCCCTCAGATCCAGATGTGAAGAGGGCCACTGCTGAACCAGCCCTCCTCAGCCACTGGCAGTGGGGCTGGACCCTGTGTCCTTGGCTGCTTCACAGGGAAGGAGCGAAGGAAGAATCAAAGAATTTAAGGGCGAACGGGACCACAGGCTCTCACTGACCCTTCCTGCACTACGTGTCACTCAGTTGTTCTGTGCCGTGACCAATACAATGTCTTTGGGTAAAGTGTAACCTCCTCCAGCCCCATGAATTAGTCTTTTGGGCAAAGCACAAATCCTGGTGAAAACCATCCAAACCAGCTCAGAAGACACGAAGAGCACCCACAGCTTGGCACCACAGTCAGTTCTCACAGACGGGTACTGGGGTCCATCCAAATTTCTCTGGCTCCAAATCTGCCCGTTTTCTTCTGTTGATTTTTTTTTTGGCCAACACACTGAAGAGCCCCTTAGTATGCAACGTGCCCCCCATGCACACTAAGGGTACTTGTGCACCCTGAAATCAAGGCATGCTTCAAAATACACTTACTTTTCCATTTTGAAACCACCTCTCCATCCTCTTCCACTACTCAAGGACCAGCCTAGCCCTTCTCACACAGCACTGTGCTGGGAAAGATTTGTTTTTCTGCTAAGCCTCCTGGAGAGCTGCTGCCTTCTGGGGTACAGCACCCCAGACCTGTACGCACAGCCCCAATTCCCTTCCTCGAGCCAGGCACCACAGCAGATTGTACCCAAGTGTGCTCTCAACACATCCCACTTAATAGTCTTTCCAAACCACCCTATAAACCCATCCTTGTTGATCTTCATCTGTCCATCATCCGCCTTTGCTTTATCCACGACACTAATCACTCACAATGGCATATTCAATTCTAAATCACCAATGAAGTGCTAACCTCCACTGTGGCTCCCACCAGCCACTGCTGACCTCTCCCATCCACCAGTGCTTCTCCAGCTAAGCCCTTGCATTCCCAAATCTGTTGGCCTGCTTTAAATAGCCCATGCTAGTAATATCACCCAGTGCTCGGTCTTCCTACACACAATGTCACACAGCGCCGCGTCCAATGCCTCGCAGAGTCTATTTCATCTACATTTATCAACCAAAGTTGTCATCTGGAAGAATGAAATCGGGTTTATTTGACAAGATCTATATTCCATAAATCTAAGTCGAGTGGCATGAATTATATTTCTATCCTTTAATTCTTTATCAATTGAATTTTATATCAGCTCTTCAATTATTTTGCCCAGAAGAGATAAGCAAAATGTTGCCAACTCTCCCACAGGTGCCCTCACCAGCCCTTGATGGCATTTTCCCAGTCCATAAGCTTTAGGAAAAACCAGCATCACATGCCAACTCTGTAGGGATTCTTGGGTGCAAGTTGTCAGGGCCTTTTCATTTAAA